GGGGGGGAAAAGGTGCAGGAAGACAGACGGAGCCCATGATTGACAAAAGTGTTGATAAGTTGTAAAGTTGAGTGAAGGTTTATTCTTTGATTGTCCTTTTGGATACACTTGTTAAATTTCTGAAACTAAGGATTGTAAAAAATATGTTTAAAAGAAGAAAGGATGAAATTGAATATACAAATGTCACCTGGTAGAGGTGTACAGATTTTAGGCCTCTGGAGTTTTCCATGGCATCTGACAGCTTTTCTTTGAAGGGTGGGGACAAAAAGATGAACTGTAGGACAAGTCATAGGGCACTTGTTTTCCATTCCAGAATTCAAGGTGGTCCCTCCCGCTGCAGACTCATGTTGCTGTGGAAAGATCCTTTTGAAGCCCCAGCTTCTTTGTAGCGCCTGTATGCCTTTTTCTTACAAACAGTGGACCCTGCAGGAAAGCAAGGTATTGAAGATTTCTTCCAGTTGCCGCATGGAAGAGCTGTTCCTTTCACAATGGGAGCAGAAAGGAGTCCCTAGGGCGTTCATGGGAGGGCAACCTTCTTCCTGACATTTGAACCTCAGCCAAGTCCCCTAGACTACTGGTTGCACCACTGTTAGTCCCATTCAGCAAAAATAAATTGTAAACTTGTTGACATTTTTGTCCTCTTTACAATTCATTGTTTATTTTTCCATGACAGAGAATTTTGATGCAATTATCAGCGAGCTTTCTGACAAAAGGGAAATAGCTGAAGAATTTTGATGAGTTACCCACTTCATTAATCAGAACAAGCATCTCTAGTGACAGGGTTAGAATTACAATGAAGATTAGATAGCAAATTGCTGTTCCACCTAGTGTCAATCATCTGCAGTGACAGCAGTGTGATTACACTTCAGGGAAGAGCTTTCCTTGCCAACAGAACGAGGGCAACTCCAGTGCAGGTAATAAATTTAGCAGGGTGGGCTGTCATTTCTTCTCTTGAGTGGAATCCTTAAAAACCAAATGCTGTCTTGTGGAAGATTTTAAGGGGAAGACAGCATTTCACTTTAAAACTTCCTCTCACATTGTAGTATTGTATTTGAAAAATTATTATAGATTCATACTTAGGTACAGCTCATTCCCACAGTGATTTTCCCTGGTTCATTTACCATACCAAGCCTATCACTGCAGCTTGATAAAGAGAAAGTAGAAGCTAGGGGAGAATGTGTGATTATTATTTGCAAACCATCAGCCAGAAAAACCAGATACAGAGACAAATACAGTAAGAAAGAAATGGAGAGAGGCCATGTTGGTTAGATATATAGTTAAAAGTTTGAATTCTCGTGGCTCAAACAGAATGCACTCCTCTTCCAACTCAAGTGTGCTTTTAAATAACTCTTGTTACGAAGAGCAAAGGTCTGGAGCACCATTGTAGTTCTAGACCAGTGTTTCTCAACCTGTAGGTCTCGACTCCTTTGAGGGTGGCATATCCGATATTTACATTACAATCCATAACAGTAGCAGAATTAGTTATGAAGTAGCAACAAAATAATTTTATGGTGGGGGGGGTCACCGCAACATGGGGAACTGTATTAAAGGGTCTCAGCATTAGGAAGGCTGAGAACCACTGTTCTAGACTGTGAACTGATTCACAGAAGCAGGCAATTTACTGGGACTGCAGAGGGTGATATTTAATCCTCATTGTCACCTTGTCTATATGTAGAATCACCTAGGAGACACACCGGGGAGGGGGTTTGCAGAGAGGGTTTACCAGAAGAAGGAAGTCATTGTGGGCTGTCCCAACCAAAATGGAGAAAGCCAGCTTAGATCGTATCCATCCCTTCCTGCCTCCTGACTGGGGGCACAATGTGGCTGACTGCCCCTAACTGCAACTACTGCTGGACCATTGTAGCTGTCATCCTTTCCCTGCCATGATTGACTATACCCTTGGACCTAGGACCCAAATAAACCCTTAAATTGCTTTTGCCAAGAATGTTGTCACAGCAATAAGAAAAGTGACTCATGTCAGAGTGAAGGGAACAAATAGATGCTATCGGTGGAAGTGTGCCACTTGTCCCTTCTAAGTTAAATGAGAGGACTAAAGTATATTCCTTTCTCTGGTGTTTCCTGAAGCACATTTATCAGACTCATGTTTACCTAAATAATGTTCACTCTGGATCAAGAATAACTAAACAGCTATCCTCAATTCATTCTTTATTTTTAATCTAAATTTTAATGAGATTGCTTTTGAGTAAGCAGGAAAAAAAATCCCAGTAGAATGTTTACCTCAGTAAAGCAGTATTCCAGGAGCCTGTCGATGTGCTGTTGTTAGCTTCTGCACAGTGGGACCCACTCCAGACCCCTAAAAGCCACCCTTTGCTCTCAGGGTCTTAACCCTGGGACTCTAAAGGAACATATTGACTATAGAGTTTATAAATTCCAGCTTTGCTCTCCTAAATTCAGGTAAGTTTCTAACAGATGCTGGTCTAGTATGGTAAACGATAGATATGTAGTTTGCTTCCAGTTTCAAAGCAGAGCATGTGCCCTCCATGGTTAGGGTAGACTTAATTACCTAATAGATTAGAGTCACCAGGATGCCAGAATGTTTGAGTTTTGGCCTTGGGATTAACACTAATGCTTTACTTTGTGAATTTAATCATCCAGCATTAGTCTGCTTAAAGTTTTAATTCAATGGGGTGACTCCTAAGAATACTTACAGTTTTGATTTTATCCTAATGATCTAAGAAGTAATAAAATAGTATGTATAAAACAATAAAGGACTGATGGTGTAGCCTAGCTGTATATCATTTGCTTATGTGCATAGCCCTGGGTTTGATCTCTAGCATCAATAAATACATGAGTAAATGAACAGTTAAAAGTGTAACAGTACATAGAAGTTACTTTGAACTTTATGACAAGAGAGACAAAAAACCCAAGCTGGAAAGATGGTTAGTAGGTAAGAGCACAGGCTGCTTGCTCTTCCACAGGACCCAGGTTAGACTGTAGCACACAACCATCTGTAACTCCCATTCCAGGAGATCCAATGCCCTCTTCTGGCCTCCACAAACACCAGGCACTCAAGTGGTACAAAGACATCCATGCAGGCAAAACATCCATACACATAAAACATGTGCTTTCCGAGGACCTCAGTTTGGTTCGCAGTATCCACATGGTAGCTTCTCCATGATCCTTAATTCTTGTCCCAGGGGGTCCAGATTCTACTTCTGAGCTCGTTGGGCACCAGGCACCCTCATGAACATACATACATGCAGGCAAAGCACCCACACACATAGAAATAAATAAATCTAAAAAAAACTATTTTAAGATGCTTTATTCTTTAAGATAAAGAAACAAATAACAATAGGAAGCACCTTTTGTGTCCCCTTGTCATAGGTGAAGGCAAATCCCGTATCTAGCAAGCCCCTCCTTTTTCCTCTTCTACCTCCTTTCTTTCCTCTTTTTATCCCCCCCCCCATGTATTTGAGTTGATAGTCTAGAAAATGTGCCCTCATTTGAAGTGATATAAGGGGGATAAGGGCTTTGTTTAGGTTGTTCCTGCCTCAAGTTTCTGCCTTGGCTTCCTCGGTGATGGACTGTAACTCGTAACCCACATAATCCCTTCCTTCCCCAAAGTTGCTTTCAGTCATGGCATTTATGACAGCAACAGAAAACAAAGTAGCACTGAGAACAATTTTGTGTGGTCAGTTCTGTCCTTTTGGGTGTTCTAGAATGGAACTCAGGTTGTCAGGCTTGCAGGAGGCATCTCACTGGCCCCAGCCTTTTATTTCTGTTTCCTGTTTTCCTATAACCTTCCAAAAGTATAGATTGTTTCCTCAACAACTTTGTTTAGAGTTCCCAAACTGAAACACAGTGCCAGGTGTTTAGTAAATACTGAAATAGCATCCCTAAGTATTTTTACAAAGAAGAAAGCAGTGAATTAAGATGATGGCTTTGAAACCCATCCTTCCCATATAAGCCACTTCCTGTGATATTGCTTTCTGTTTGATCTTACACTCCTGTCTGGTTTGTTGTCCCCGCTTAAGGATCCTATTCCCGTCTCTCGGGAGTGCCACGGTCTCGTGGAAGTCAATAAACTTGAGATTTTTCATGAAGTGGTAACTGCCTTAGCTGAAGAATGCACAGCTTGCTCTGGAATAGTGGGAGGAGCATTAAAGTTGTGGTAAGAGTTGACCATAGGACCTGGGAAAGAAATAAGTACTGAGTGAGCAGAGAAAAGGCAGAAAAGAAAGACAGAAGTTAATATGAAGAGATAGGAAAGTGTGACATAGCATACGCTTGGTGTTGAGGCTAGGACTGACAGTAGATTGATCTAGAAAGAAAGAACAGCATGTTTTTATGAGGACAGAGTATATAGTCAAGGACTGAGTAGTAGTGGCTTTTTCCTTAGACCTGGATCATGAGTAAAGTACCCTGGGGACTTTGTTAGGGGTGGTAGACTTCGTCTAATTTGCTGTTGGCTGCATAGATACATGATGACCTGGACATCTCTAGGCCTGTTCCTCAAAACCCCAATAACATGACTAGTGGTGGCCCAGCTAGGCTTGTCATTTTTAGTTGTCTTGTTTTCAAAGAACAGAGGCCCCATACAGCTCCCCTGAGAACTCCCATGTTCTCTCATGAAGGACAGGAGTGGTGCCTAAGACAGGATTGAACTAAAGGCTTACTATTTTAAGCCCCAAGACACATCCTAGCTGGGCAGGTCATGTCAGAAGCATCTCTCCGCAGGTCTCTAGTTCCTGTCTACCATATGACCTGCTATCCCGATTACCACAGGACTGTGCCTTGTAATGAGAACTGAGTATTTTAGTTTAAGTCATGAAGCTGTGGTTGCCTCTGATGTCTGAATTAAGTATTACTCAACCCTATAAGCATGAAAGAATTGAGCTTTGTTCCATTCCATCAGAATCACAGGTAATAGATTTGTTCAAAACAGTGTGATAGGAAAATCTGAGGACAGGACTGTCAGTGTAGCATATTTGAAACACAAAAGCTGATTGGTGGTGATTTTCCAAATGTTTCCACTTCAGTGTCAAAAACGGTATTTCTCTGCCTGGCATAAGCTGATTCTGGACCACAGGATTAAGCTGGGGAAAGCTGGGACCCTTTCTGACTGGAAGCTTCAACTGAAGGTCCTGCGAGCCTGGAGAGACCATACACGAACCCAGAAGTTGGAGCGGGAGACCCAAGCCTTGGAAAATGACCTTAGGGAAGAGAACAGGTACATTACTTAGACCCTTTGAAAATCCTTCTGCTGTGCTTATTATCATCTAGGGCATCTTCCCTCTGAAGAGCCCAGAAATCAACTCGAGAAAACACTGTCCACTGCAATCAGCTATGATACAGTGATCTGTTCTCCTGTGTTACCCACAGCTAGAAAGACTTAACTGAAAATTAGAAGCAAAGTGATTATCTGATTAAAATGTACTGATGAAGCCCATTCCCTTTCTGTAAAGGAAAGATTGGTCTTCCATTGCTAATGAACAGCACTGCACCTTTTACCATCTCACAGTTCTGAAGAGGGAGTTTGGTTTATATGCCAATAATTCTCATTGATAGAATTTCTGTCTGCACATAGAATGTTAATTAAGGACACAGGGAACATCCATCTGGGAGGACCAACCTGCCAAGAGTGATTCCTCCCACACTGCTGTCTTTTGTTCCACACCTTATTTAGAGGTTTCTGTCGCTTTTATATCAAATCCCTCTTTGCTCGTGCTGTGTCATACAAAATTTATTGTCAAATAAAACTTTTTTAAAATTTCATTATCTTAAAATTAAATACATTTTCTCTTTTCATCTTCAAGTTTAACTTTGCATGGGATGTAGTGTGTGTGTGTGTGTGTGTGTGTGTGTGTGTGTGTGTGCATGTACGTGTATACATGCACACGCACGTGCATGTTATTTTTGCTTTGTTGTTGCTTAGTAGTGCTGGCTCTGGAACCCAAGACTTTGTATATTTTACTACTGGGCTCCACACCCTCAGCCCATCACCTTTTAATTCTGGAATCAATGTCACTGAAGTGGAAGGAACCATTCTGTTCTTATGTGTGATCATTACTGACAACACTGCCATTCATTCAGGATGAAAAAGGCATGTAGAAGAGTTGTTACAGTGAAAGGCACAGCTGTGCAACCCGATGATGGCATCAGACCTGGGAGGTTTTGTAGGTGTTGGACACATGAGGTTATATAGGCTTTAAGCACATGGTTCATTGTCCTCAAAGAACTCAGTTATGTGAGATAAACAGTATCTAGAAACAGTGTAAGTGTTCTGCATATTGTACAGTGAGGAATATGTTCCCTTCTGCTGCTAGGAAATGTCACTGGCCTGTTAGGTGCCTCAGATTGTGTAGAGCAGGATTCATCAGGGTGGAAGTGTAGCCTTCTGGTTTGGCTGGAGATAAACAAGTGGCCTTCAAGTCCATCAACTTTTAAGAAGCTAGATGCTTGGTTGCTTGTTTTCTCTCTTCTTTGTTTTTTAATTTGTGTGTTTGTGTGTGGGCCCACACGAGTGTATGTGTACCACATGTATGCAGAAGCCTGTAGAAATCATGAGAGGCCATCAGATCTCCTGGAACTGGAGCTACATGGTTGTGAGCCTCCATGTTAGTTCTGGGAACTGAACTTGGATCCTTTGAAAGAGCAGCAAGTGCTCTTCTCCCTTGATCCTCTCCAGCCCTCATGGAAAGCTTTACATGCCAGTCCAAGGACTTTAGGTATTAGTTAGTTATAAGGTGAATTTCTAAAGCTTCTCAAGAAGAAGGATGACTCTTTTGGACTATACAGTGGGGTACATCTTCAGTGGAAAGGGCCAATGGAGAGAACTCTCCTTTAATCTGTTTCCAAAAATCCCAGGACCTCATGACTGGTGTAAGGACTTGGGTGACAGCCTACTGGAAAACTGAATGATGGGGGTGGGGGTTGCTGGGTAAAGTATGTAAACTGGAGACAGTGTAAGGGCACAGAGAGGAAAGTGAAATGTTAAAGTTAAAAGCTGCCTGTAAGACTTGCGTGCCAGAAGAAACTTGTAGAAGAAAAATCTGGAGAACTCAGGATTCCATTCCAATTAAACAGTTTAAATATAAAGGCACTAAATGGAGATTTCATAATAGTATAGTGTGCCAATTTTTTTTAAGATCTCAGAACTTTTAGTCTGGTATCTGAATTATTTTCAGGTGTCTATTTTTAAATGTTCAGAATGGGTACTAAGATTGTTTTAACAGTTAAAGTTAGAAAATATTTAACTTATAATACTTTTTTTTTTTACTATAAAGCTTTAGAACAAAAAAAATACCCTAGAGCAGGATGACACCTTAGGATTGTCAGATCCAGCCCCTCATTTCACAAATGAGGAAAGAAAGCCCCAAGAGTAGAAGTGACTCTCATAAAGCCAAGTGGAGCATGTGTGGGACCAGAGCCTTGTCCCTGGGATGCCTTTAGCAGACAGTACTGCCTCCCAGTTAAGACAAACAGCATCTTAGTCATGGTTTCCCAGGCTAGCCGTGAGTTTCTTCTGTGTTGCAATTTGCTTTAGATTATGATGTGAGAACTAAGTGGTAATTAACAAGTGTCAGGTTCTATGAGAAAGGAGTGAGGCAGAGGACCTGTTTCTGCAGCCCCTTCTGAGTCCCCAGCTCTCCGTATGTTGAATATTGTCCTAGAATCTGTTTTAGAAAACTCAGACCTGGACCGTCTTCATCGTGCCCATTGAGGTTGCTCCACATGCGTCAGTGGACAGTGACTACATTGATAACTGAGCCAGTTAGTGAAGGAAGGCTCGGTTGCTTCCTTTCCTGAAGTTTAACCGGATGGAGTCTTCGTGCTCCAGTGAGCCCCATGGGTAGGTGAGAGCCAGTGGTAGAATGCTCACTCCCATGGGACTTACTGCTCACCGGGTGGCAAGACACAGGTGATGCTGTGACTTATTGCAGGATGCTGTTGAAACCACTTGTCTATGATTCAGATGTGAGCTGAATCCACATCCTGGTTTCTGCACCCACAGTGGTTTTGTCCCCTGAGGTTCCCCCACACACCCCCCACCCCAGTGGTCTGCTCCCCTGCAGGGCCCAGCCTTGCAAGCTATCTTCTGTTCTTCCCACTCCTTTTTACAGCAACAACAAATCCCTCTGTTCTCATTCATAATGTAGTATCCTCCTTGGCTTTCTGAGCCTGTGCACAGTCTCACCTCCGCTCCAAGGGTTCATCCACTTATCCTACAAATGCATCTTGCTTTCCCTAATAGGAATTGTGGTCGCTCTATTTCCATCCATCTCTTTTCTTTCAGAAGTAGTGAGTGTGTTGGGTATGATGGTGCATGCCTGTAATCCTAGCATGTGGGAGGAGAGGGCAGGGCCATCAGGGGCTGGAGGTCGACCTGGGTCTCAAAACATAAGATAAAATAAAATGGGGGAAAAAAGTTATTGTGACTAATGGTTTCACTAAATGTCAATATAATATCATACTATAATTTCAACATGACAAACATTTCCAGATTCATTTGCTTAGGTAATTTCATAAAACTTCATTACTTACACATTTGATGTGGTGGTATAGAAACTGTCAATTTCCTTAGCATATTCACTTTCACAGGTTGGTTGCCTATCTATGACTCCTCTCTCCCTTCTTCCTTGGATTTATAGGCAGCTCTACAGGAAAATGGGAATAAGCAGGGTTTGGTTGCAGTACCGTCTGCTGGCCCTTCTTTAGTCCTGTTCCTCTGCTTTCTCTGGACTTTCCAATGAAGCACCTGTCCTAGGTTGTACCAACCACCTTCCACATTCCCTGTCCACTGGCTCTGCCTAGAACATGCCTTAAGCTCTCTGCCATATCTCAAGCTCCTCCCCCCACTTCTTTGTTCCTAGAGTCCTTGATTGTCCATATTCTTCACTCCTAATACTTCTGCATTCAGTCTTCTTTGGGGAATCATAGACAGAGCACTTCTGTCAATCGTGTTCAGTTGCCTTCCCCTCTGTGCTCACCAGGGTTCCCGGGTGAGTGGCCAAAAGCCATGTCGAATGCGCATCTGGTGAGCTCCTAATAAGACAGTCAGAGGCCAGGCTTGCACTGCCTGGCTCACTTCAAAAACTCTCTTAAACAAAATTGTCTCATATTCCCTATTTCCCTGGGGGCTACCTGGTACATTACTGAATGCATTAGCTTGCTCTTTCCTGTTCCTGCTGAAGATGCTCATCCCAAATGCAGCTGCTCCTGTGTTCTGCTGCTGTTGTGTTCTGCATCAGATTTCGGCACTTAGTCAGATCACTGGCATGTGGTTATCTTTCCTCTCCCATTCCCTTCTGAAAAATTCAAGACTCAGGGCCAGTGAAGTGGCTCAGGTGGTGAAGGTACTTGCCATCAAGCCTGACGACCCAAGTTCCATCCCCAGAACCCACATGGTGGGAAGAGAGAACTCACTCCTGCAAGTTTTCCTCTGATCTCTGCATGCTCACTGTTTAACCTCCACCCAAAGAAAAAAAAAAAAATGTAAACATTAAGACATGGTTTAGATATCCAGTAGTCTTGCTGTAAGATAGCATTACTTTATGTGTGGATCTCATTCTGTATTTTAGATTTTGTTTTAGTTATTTAAGGTAACAAAAGAAAAAAAATCGTTTGAAGACTAGACAGTGTAGAGTTCCCAGCACCATTTCTGCGGAAGCATCATAGCTTAGAGACCATAACCACTTGCCCACTGTCCCAGATCTGCTGGAAGCTCTCCTGACTTTGAGGGTTCCATATACACACCTCCACTACAGCACTGTTAGAGGTGTTGATCCTGGGGGCAGCATGGTTCACACTTGAATTCCTGTTTAAATTGTTCCTGTTTTGTACTCTTAGGCCTTCGGAGACAGCCTTTCTTTGCAGGCAGTTATGTAATTATGATGATCAATTTATATGCTCTTGCTAGAAATGTTCTGATTTAGCTCACAAGCATATTGGGACAGGCTGTTTTCCATAAGGCACTCTGCCCTTCTTTATGGTTCCTGGGAACTGTATGTCAAGCTTTTTCTTCAGGTGAATTTACCTATGAGATGGCATCTCACTAAGATTTTATGAAATTGAGGTGATTCACTGCCCCCTCTTCAGAACTAGCTATATTTTTAGTGCAGTCTTTTAAAAAGTATACAAGTTGGTTCATATGGGACATTGTCACTGTGCCAAAATGAAGTGCAGAGCAGCAGGCATGGAAGCAGCCTCTCTTGTTTTAGTGTCTGTCTTCTGCCCTTCCACCTTAGCTGGCAAACACAGAAGTCCTGTCTGCATTCCAGATCTCCTGTGCAGCCGTCAGAGAGGGCTCTCAGCACTGGAACAAACACGCCTTCTTCTCACTTTCCTACATTCTTAGTCTTGATAGAGTTATAGAGACGGTTTTCTCTTTGTCTTTCATAGTATCTAAAGAATTGAACTGAAGGGCAAAAGCCTAGTGCTGCTTTGGGCTGTTTATGCTGTAAAAACGATATTAGCACACCAGGTGCCTCTCTCACTCATCCCTCTCGAGAAGATTGATGTAAATTGGATTTCACATTAATCAGACTCAGCAACAAGCATCTTCTGTCCTAAAATTTATAAGTTTTACTCACTGGAGAAAACTATAGGTTTTTGTCTGCCTCCCTGCTTAGCTTTTGGAGATTTCCCTGCTACTTAACTTACTGCCTGCTCTAAAAATTGTATCAAGGCAGTCTCATTAGACAGTTTATTTCCATTATAGTAAATGCATATGTTTTTATTATGACTTATAGTATACTTTTAGTATAGAAGATATCTGCCAGTCACCAAGTATTTGTCAGCCATCATCGACTTTATAATCAACCATTATAAAGATCAATTAAATATAATGATATATGTTGTTGGAAAATGTCCTGGTCAATATTCTGTGGCTGTAGCAGAGTAGTATAGGCCGAATAATTTATGAACAATAGAAGTTTATTTGGTTCCTAGATCTGGGGACTTAGAAACCAAGAGCATAGTACTGGCATGACAAGGGCAAACAAGCACACACTGCACAGACAGGAGCCGGGCTCTCACCGTTTTCATTAGTAACCCAGCTCCAAGACAAGAGCATCAGTCTGTTTCCAGGAGCAGAGCCTTCATGGCCTGATAGTTGTTTTCATGTTTTGGCTTGCAGGTAAGCACTATAGTTCTGAGCTATGATCCCCAGCTTCTCAGTTACCTTTCCAGGGCTCTACTTCTTCATAATGTTACAGTTCAGTCTCCACATTTTTAGAAGGTATGTTAAAAACCATGGCAGCTGAGGTGCTTATATCTCATGACTGGATTAGAAATAGCAGTGCATTTTTGGTAGCAAGGGGAACTACCATTTGGTGAAACTTTGTTTCAGCTATATATATATACTTTAGTTTCATTTAAGTTTACATATAAACTTCTATATTAAGTTGTGATGTCACATTTTTCACTATAGGTAACCATCAGAAGTCAAAGAGAAACTAGAAATGGGGGCTAGAGAGGTGACTCAGCAGTTAAAAGTACTTGATGCTCTTGCAAAACACCTGGATTCAGTTTGGGGTACCCTCATGTGGGGTGGTATCACAGCCTTCTGTAACTACAGTTCCAGAGGGATCTGACATCCTCTTCTGGCCTCGCTGGGTTCTGCATACATGCGTGTGGTCTGAATATGTATGTACATGCAGGCAAAACAGTCATAAACAAAAGTATGCTAGTCTTTTTTTTTTAATCTCTAGAAATGTTCTCCTCACTCACTGATTTATATGGTTATGATTTTCCTCACAGGACCCCAGAGTGTATGTATAATGTTTAATAGAAAGAGTTATGGAAACAGTGCTGTAGAGAACTTAGTTATGTTTACCAGATAAAACCAAAAAGGCAAATAAACAATATTGGATTTTAAGTCTCCAAATGGACACCTGAGGCTACATAATGAATCACATAATAAGTTCCAAGGTCACAGGGATAACCATTCCCCAGTAGATAGATACAAGAAACCTCTAGTCTTGAATCCCGTGTGTGTGTGTGTGTGTGTGTGTGTGTGTGTGTGTGTGTGTGTGTGTGTGTGTGTGTGTGTTGTCCAATTAGACGTGACGTTCACATGTGTGCAGATGGAGGCCCAAGGTTGTGTCAGGTGTCTTATATTGCTCTTTCCCTTATGTATTGAGTCAAGGTCTCTTGCTGACATCGGCATGCTAGCCAGGTTGATCTAATGATTCTTGTTTTGAGATTACAGACAGGCTACTATACATACCTGGTGTTTACCTTGCCTCTGGGGATCTAAACTCCAGTCCACACAGCTCCAAGCCTTGAATTCTTGACCGACTTCCACCATGATGTCTCTTGGGGATTTTTCCCATGGAGAAATCAAGTGTCCACTCCCAACTCCAACCAGCCAGGGTCACTGTTTATGAAGGTTCTAGGAGCCCAAAGTAGCTCTTTCTTAGGTGATGGCTGAGCTCCCTGAGAGTGGGAGCCTGGCCTGTGCTCTTCACATGTGTCTAGTGTTTAGCTAATGTCTTCACAACAGTTCAAGGCTTTGGTCCTCTTCAATGATCCTCTTCCTGAGCCTGTCTTTACCAAGATCACCTTCAGAGTTTGACTTAGATTTTGATAAGTCTTTTTGTTGCTTGTTTGTTTTTGTTTTTGTTTTTGTTTTTGTTTTTGAGACAAGGTTTTCTCTGTGTAACAGCCCTAGCTGTCCTGGAACTTGCTTTGTAGACCAGGTTGACCTCAAACTCACAGAGTTCCACCTACCTCTGCTTCTCGAGTGCGGGGATTAAAGGCGTGCACCGCCACCGCCCAGTGATGAGTCATAATTATTGGCATCACAGGGTGATATGGCTAAGTTATTGAGTTTTCTCCTAACCTACCTGCCGTAGATTTCCACCCCTGCCTGAATCTCTCTTTCCCTAATGCATGCTTCTTTTCAAAATAGTTACATGTATATATAATATAAACTAATATGTCTTAGTGGGAAGATAGAACAGTACAATTGCTTTTTCTTCTTAAAGGCAATGCTGGGATGTAAGTCATTTCATTTAGTTTACTGTAACATGATAAGATGGAACATTTCAGGAACTTCTTTGGCCTCATGTTTCATTTGTATTATCCACTAACACTATAAATGGACTCTTCTTCTTCTTCTTTTTTTAATGGATGTACTTTGTCTCTTAGAAAACAACAGCTCGCTACTGAGTTTAACCGGAAACAAGTTCTTCGATACTGCTTTTCCGAATGGCAGCGTTGGCATGGTTCAGAAGTTATAAAGAGGGAGCTGGCTCGAGCAAAGGAGCAAACTAGGAAGAAAATGGATGAGCTGCTGAAGGCAGCCTCTCTCGGGAAACTCAATTCTAATGGGTCACTGGGTATCCATCATCTTGCAGAGGCAACAGCTGTGGTGGACCAGCCAGCAGGAAGTGGAGAGGTACACTGTTCCTTTGTTTGGGCTTCATTACAGATTTGCATCTGAGCGTTGCACTCTTACAGCAGCTGAAATCAGCTTGCCTTGTCTAGGCTATGCAAAAGTTAGGGCTGCTGCAGAACACAGGGGTTACCACTCAGACTGTTACTATTTCCTTGACTGGAATTGTCTAATAGTCATACATCAATGTTGGGCTAGCTGAAAGTTGGTAAGGACATGATACAGAAGGGATTCATAACAGCTAAGTGAATAACCTTTAGAAAGAGATGAGTAAAGAAAACTTACTAACAACTCTTAATCTTTATATGCTTTTGGATAAACTTGTGATATAATGTATTGTTAATTTTTTTCTAATAAGAAAAGTTGTTCATACTAATTGTGACAATTTGGTAGGATAAAAATCAGCAGGAATTTATTTATTTTTTATATACCAGTAATTGCAATCTCCAAGTCAGCCTGGGCTGTTTAGTGAGTTCAAGGCCAGTCTTAATAAACAACCAAGTCTATAATTCCATTACCTGGGGGTAACATGGAAGTAGAGATACCTATTCTTTTCTCTGTTGAAGCATATATAAATTTGTTATTATTAATATTTTATTTAGCTTTAAATTTCCCTCAACCAGGTCACTGAAGAAATCTAGCCTGCTGTAATCAGGAAAACGAAGGCTTGTTGTTTTGTTTCTTCTTTCTTTCCTTCTTTCCTTCCTTCCTGCCTTCCTTCCTTCCACTCTCCCTCTCCCCCTCCTCCCCTCTCCACCCCTCCCTTCCTCTCTCTCTCTCTCTCTCTCTTTCTTTTTTTCTTTCTTTTTGAGACCTGGTCTCATATAGTACAGGCTGGCCTAAAAAACACTCAGTAGCAAAGGTTGGCCTTGAACTCCCAATCCTCTTGCCTTCTTAAGTGTTGGTTTTATGCAAGGCTGTTCTGTGGGTTTTGTTTGGTTGGTTTTTTTTTTTTTAAATATGAACATAACTATTTAATTTCCTATAAACAGCCTTTGAATTTCCTAAATAGAACATGGACATTTTTATATTATTAAATATACCTTAACCAAAGTTCTTCATTAAAGTAGTTCTACAGGTGAACTTGATATCTACCCTGGTTATGGACTACAGTTCTCTGCCACCGTTTTGTAATGCCTACATGATATTCTATGGCAAACCTAAAACTAGAAGTTGTTTAAGTCAACGGATGGCTGAAATTTAAGTTTTCAGTTTGTCTCTATTTCAGTGTTCACTGAACATCCCAGTAGTAACTAAGTCTTTGCATATATGCATAATGCTTTACTTAGGGTAAATATTTTAAGAGAGAATGCATATTCTATTTTTATCTTATTTTGTCTTGTTTCTTTATCGTTTACATTTTTATTGCTAGTAAAATGAAGCATTTTTATATTGCCTATATATATAAATATGGATATAAGAAGACAGGCATAAGTAAGTCACCTCCTAGTACCTTTGTTCATTTTTCTGCTGTGTGCGTATCTGCTTTATTTACAGAAGTTCTTTATACTTTTAGGAATATTGATACTTACATTATTATGTGTACTGCAGACCTTTTGTCCACTTGGTGATATGCCTTTTTGGTTTGGTTTGGGGTTTGATGCTGTGCCCAGCTGTTCATTTTTTATGAGGTCACTCAAAACAATTTTTCCTCCTTTGTTCACATGTCTTGTAAAAAACCTTAGGAGATCCTCTGCCTCCACCCTGCTCTGAGTGCTATTAAGTACTTAACTCAGACACATAAAATTAAATTGGGCACCTGAGGGTCTCAGCCTTGCTTTATACCCTGATTACTGTGAGCAAGCAGTCTGGCTTTCATTTAAGCGGACTCTCAACAAAGAAGGGCAGTGAGAATGCTTATGGGGTTTATGTAACATTCTGGGCCCTTCCCCCAGGCATTTTATCTACCTTTATATCAGCTAGATAATTTCATCTCCATTGAAACCCAGAAAAGATTTATATCTTAAGAAATAGCTGAATGGAACCCTTTTTTTTCTTAACAAGTTCTACTGTTGTTACCTTTAAATGAAAAAAAGTCAGCAAAAATACTTTTCCTGTGTAAAACAAAAAAATTACTGTATGATATACATATGTACACACACACACACACACACACACACACACACACACACACACACATATATATATATATATAATGTGCACATATATATTTCAGGAAAAAAGCCTCCAAGTATATAAAGCAAAGTAGAAAAAGTTTTATCAAGCAAATAATTCTGTGGAAAAAAAAAATAGAGCAAGAGAAAAGAAGGGACTAAAATAGACCTTATGGTTCATGAAACAAACTTCCATCTTTTCTAGGATGTACAGTGAAACATGAGCAAATGAAATGCCTTGAAAGATTTCAAAATTATCCATTAGCTAGTAGGTAATTTCCCCTACCAGCTGTGTAGACCAGGCTGTGCAGTTCTCTTCCAGTGAGTACAAACTGTACCACTAAGCTTTTGTTTCATTCTCCTGTTTCTACCTTCAGAAGTTACCATGATCCAAAAGAAACCTTGTTGCTGTACTCGAAGCTTTTATGCAGTCTTGCTGGGCTAATAAGGGGTCATTACCACAAGGTTTAAAAGCACCTAAAACATCTACCCTGCTTGATGCTAAATTACATAAGCACGTGTTCTCATGAATAAATGTCCACTGACATTTCTAAAATAAAAGGTTGTTTTTAAAAGTCTTTAACGTGTCCAAGTTTCCCTGGATCACATCCCTCACTTGAGCTAAGTCTTGGAAAGCATTTCCATCATCGTGGACAATACTTTTGAGTCCCTGAGGACGGTACCCTGTTAGTGCTGAAGGCTTTTAACATGGGACCACTCATGGCTTTTCCTGCATGCCAATGCACATGCAGAATTGGTAGCTGATCAGATCATGAACTCAAACATTCTAACTTGACACAAATTTTGGCCAGACTAAATTTTGCTCTTAGGAATGCTTCTTTCCTTCCCCCCAGATAACGTCATGGAGTATGAATCCTATCTATAAAGGAAGTTTATATCTTTAAAAGGTGTTATGTTGTATGCTAATACAAGGTATGTAGATAAAGTTGTTCTTGTGTAGTACAGATATTTGCATAGACCTGGCTTTACCAAAACTTCCCCAAACAGATAGTTGAAAAGAGTGAAGACTGGTGTCGAAATCAGACCTGGGGTTGAAGTCTGTACTGTTTCTAAGGATGAATTTGGTAAAGACAGAACAGGCCTTGAAAGAACAGATCTGCTGCATCTTAAGAAATAGCTGATAGCTGAAAGAAACCTTTTTTCTTACCAAGTTCTTACTGTTGTTACCTTTAAATGAAAAGGGTCAGCAAAAAGTATTTTCCTTTGTAAAACAAAAAAAATTACTATACAATAGGCTTTCATACATATACATACACACATACCTACACACATACATACACACATACATATATACACATACCACACATATATACATACATACACACACACACACACACACACACACACACACACACACACACACACACACGCACGTTTAGACTTAAGAAAAAGTCTCCAAGTATCTAAGGTGAAGAATAAAGTTTTCAAACATTCTTGAGGAAAAAAAAAATGTTTCCCACACCACAAAATACTCAGATTTCTGCAAATTTTAGAGTTAATTTTATGTTTAATTTTTTTTATTAAGAAATGAACTTGTCTAGTTACAAAATGAACTTGAGAAAATCCTAAGAGAAGGTTGGGCATGGCGGTACATGCCTGTAGTCCCAGAACTTTTGGCAAGGGGAAACAGGAGGATCTTTAGTTCAAGGCCAGCCTGAGCTACATGAAATATTCTCCCATACAACTGAAAGAGGCAGTTCCTTCCAGCTCATTGCAGATGCCTTGGCCCATGACAACAACTCTCACAGCTGTGGCCACATTCCCACTCACTCTTACGTGGAGTGGACATCCTGAGAGGTTCACAGTGCTAAGCTGGTGGTATCTGAGGCACCCTCACCTGGAGAGCAGGGCAATTCTAGCTGAGGTGCAGCATATTTGTGTCATTGAACAAAACAACACTAATGACACCAAGCCAGGATCTCAGCCTATCAGCATTGAATTAGATTATTATCTTTTTCCCCAGGTCACCATCATGCCCACTGCCTGGGAAAAGCTACCCATGAGGAGCAGTGATTGTATACTCAGCCATTCCCCAGGAAGAACAACCAAGGGGAATTTTCAGGGTCCCCTCCCAAATGTCTCTGGGAGCACAGCTGATGCAAAGCAGCCCAAGACTCCAGATGCTGAGATCTCTGAACAGCCTGGTAGCCATGAAAAGCCTGAGACCACTAGCCAGGAAGCAGAGCCTGTTTGTGTGGGCCATTTCCACAATCGCCATGTGTACCAGCAACAGCTGATTGAGAAGCAAAAGAAGAAACTCAAGGAACAGCAGAAAACCATTCAGAAGCTGAAGGAAAACCAGCGGTTGGCTGAGGCCCGGTGGGCAGCTGAGCGTGCAGCATCAGTCACAGAAGCACAGAGTCATCTTCTGTCCAATCCCAGAGGAGCAGAGGAGCCACAGGGAACCTGCCAGAGACTTCTGAAGTATGCCAGCAGTGTCAGAGCTCTCTGACATTGTTTGGAGGGGGTTTGCCTTTAAGAAAGAGGCTGCTGAATATCTTTGCTTGGCTTCTATGCTCCATGGTCTTTATGTAGTCTGTACACTCACACTGCTTGGTTTCTACACTCCGTGGTTGTTATGTCGTCTGTATACTCACAGCCAAGAAGCCGCATGTATTCTGATTTGCCCTTGAGGGGTACATAGATATTTAAAGCAAAGGCTGCCTAGGTAGATTGCATTATATAGTGAGCACTGGGTGGTAGCTGCCATTGTGAGAGGAACTTTGTAATTGTGCAGGGAAAGAGAAGAATGCTTGTTCTAACTAGATTTCTGGGTTTCTGATTCTGTGTAATGCTGAGAAGCCCAGGCAGACAACATGGACCCTATGGACCAGCCCCAGGGCTGAGTAATTACTTTGCTTATTGTTTGAAGTAAAATTATGTACCTTCAGGCTTGGAATAGGAGTTCTCATTCTCAAAAGTCTCTTAAGACAGTCTCAGGTGTGCCTGAGACATAGTTGATGTGTGGTGAAGGTCATTAGGAGAACAGATCAGAAGACAAGGATGGGGTCCTCCTGTGCCGACATTAGTCTGGGTGTAACTCAAAGAGTTAAACTGAACCTTGTTTAGTGTTTTGAGTTCCTCAGGTGTGAAGACTTTGAAGGAAGCTAATTATTGATTTAAATTGTTTTTTTCTTTTCTTTTTCTCCTTATTTTCTCCCAGGTCATCTGTTCTTTCCAAAAGGTGTGAAGATAGTAGAACTGGTTCCAGAAATTGTCTTTCTGCATCCAAAAAGAACCCAACAGCACCCCATCCCTTACTGAAAGGCAAGGCTGTCTAGATGGCTCTCATGATGGTTGCCTTTTCTACTGGAGTAGCGTTTGTCTGGGACTGCCTGCTTAGCACTCTTAGGCTTTGAGACGTGGTAAAGCCTGGTGAAAATCTAAGACTCATGACATGGAGGAATGGGATGCTCAAGAGCCTTGATACTCTCTTTTCTTTCCCTTTTGCCAGCCCTGGTGGCCTTCCCAGCTATATGTGCGTGCGTGTGTGTGTGTGTGTGTGTGTGTGTGTGTGTGTGTGTGTGTGTGTGTGTGCACATGTACACACACACACACACACACACACACACACACACACAGAGTTATGAAAGGTACATCATTTTTCTCTAATTAGAGATTTGGATTGTGGACAATGGGGGGTACACAATTGAGACCCCTGAGTAGAGGCAAAGGCTAAACACTGATCAAGTTCATCTGCCATTATACTCCATCGATGCCAAAACACTGAGGAGTTCATAGCAATTCAAGTCAAGTTATTCTGCCATTTTATGATGCATTGTCTTAATAGTGCCATTTTGGTAATGAGATGTATAAACCAGATAGTTTAATTTAATAGCATTTTAGATGCACATGGAACTCTTTATTTAAAAACTAAATAATGCTTTGAGAGTAGAAGCATTCCTCAAGACCTACCTAGTGATTCTGCTAATTAATTTTAGCACATAGCTAGCTGCTCTGCCCCCCCCCCCCCGTGTGTGTGTGTGTGTGTGTGTGTGTGTGTGTGTGTGTGTGTACATGCAGTGGAGAGTATTTTGACAATTATGTTGAGTTTTGTAAATCTAGTTTTTTTTTTTTAAGCTATGGCAAAATTGCCACCCTAGCAAGAAGTAATGACATCTGAAGGGTACTGTGGTCATTTCTGTCAATGAAGAGATTGGCTGTCTATATATCAACCATCTGGCAGGGCAGCAGCTGACGCTGGCTTTGCCCACTACTGAGGCTGACCAGGAAATGTCCAGTTCATTGTGATAAGTTTTTAAAATTATTGTTTGATCAATGACTTACCTATTTTAGAATCCCAGCCTATTTTTACCAAGTAGCCTTTAATGACTCAATCTAGGAAAGATCGGAGAGATGTGTTGCTGAGACTCTGTTTCTCCGCTCTTTAATCTTCTAATCTATTTCTGCCTCCTTAAGGACAGTCTCACTCTGCCATCTGTGCTACCACCACTAATCTTTTGTGGCAAAGCAGACACTTAATATCCGTAAGAAATAGCTTGGTGAGTTTTTTGTTTATTAATTCTTAAAACTTGGACTTAAATGTTCAAGGAATGGAAAGTAACCATTGGCTGGCTTCGTGAGCAGAACTCAGTGCTCCTGCTGCCCATGCCCCCCTCCCCGCGCCAGCCCTGACTGTTACAGTCGTATTATCAGACCATCTTGCACATTTGTTTCTTTTGGATCGATATTTAATAAACTGTCAAGAACAGGAGTCTGACACTCAAATTCATTCTGATGCCAGTTCTCCAAATGCCTGGTTCACTTCCATTTCCTGCCCATCTGGGTGCCTGGGTCTGAAAACTACATTGAAATGTATTCACCATGACCCCAACTTCAGCTTTTGTTGTTGTACAGACCATGGACAGTGGCTTCACCAAAAAATGCATAGCCTCACTTAAAGTGAGATTTAATGAATTTTCTACTCTCCAAGTACTTGTTAGCTGTAGTTACATTTTTCTTGTTCATTAACAATATATTAAAATTCTGATTTCTGAGTTTCATATAGTAAAAGTCCACCATCCAGGAACATTGTCTTATTTAAACCACTAGAAATATATTCTTAAAAAAGTAAACAAAAATGTAATGAATGTGTATATTGTTCATTATTGCTGATGTTAGGTCTTTAACCTGTTGAGTTACATAAGCTCCATATGTCAGAATGTTCAATTGACAAGAAAACTCTAATGATAACTCTAAATGTGACTATAATATGGAGACACTTATTTTACAAAGTGCCTCATAATTTTTTTTATATTGGGACTATGTTACTATTTTTTAGCCATGGAAGAGAGAGCAATTCAACGAGCTGAACGTAGGCGGATCTTGGCAGAAAGGAAGAAAAAACAAGAAGAAGACAAATTGGTAATAAATTCGGAATGCAAACTGAGGCAAGAAAAGTGACTTGTTCAGATTTCCAAAACTGGAACCTTGCTTGTCCATGCCTCCTGAGATAGTAGAGTTAGAACAACTTAGGAAAGGCTTGTGGCCCACCCCTTTGAATTCAGCTTTAGGAAAATAAGGGAGGTTGTACTCAACATCATTAGCAGAGCAGAAAGGAAATGTTACAAAAGTGAATGACAGCCAGCAGACTGGAAGGTTCACAGATAACCACAATTAGTATGCTGTAGGTGACAGATGTCTGACCCAATGACTTTGCAAACAATGTATCTTCCAAAGTAGATATGTATCTTGACCTACTGTCAGAAGTAAAATTTGCACTTACAAGAAAAAAAAATTAACAGTTCTGTTAGGGGTGGGCTAACCAGATTTCACCACACCAGACTTCCTGTTTCACAGGTGAAAATAAGAAGTGAAATAGTCATTTTATCATGAAATGTTATATTCATGTGCAGTGTCACAAGACGCATTGGTAGTTCAGGGGCAGGACTGGCACTTGGTGGATAGCTGACTGCCTCACCACAAAAGATCTCCTTTCCCACTCAGGGGAAGGGGTCTGAGTTTTCTGTCTTCTAATTTTATTCAGGCTCAGTTAAAGGCCCAAGAGGAAGAACGCCAAAAGAAGGATGCCGAAGAAAAGGAAGCTCAGCTTGAGAGAAAACGAGAGGAAAAGAGGCTGAAGAAGATGGTTAGTGGAGTCTCTTGTCTTTAGCCAGTTGCCTCTCTGTTGAGGCCCATTGTAGTGATCTGGTGGCTCTCTACTCATTCTGTTAGCCATTGGTGTACCTAGGACATAGGATGCTCTTAGCAAATGTGGTGAATGAGTGAATAGACAATGAACAATTAGAGGAAAATATGCTTCCGAGTGTTTGGAAGACGAGTTATTAAATGCTAGTTGACAAGACATGACCTTATCTATTGGAGGAAATACAGTAGAGTATTTGCTGTGTCAGATGCTACACAGGATAAAGGGAGTCAAGAAGTCATCTGAGGCAAAATCCACATAGATTCTGGAAACAGTAGAAGCATTTTCATCCTTTGCTAAATCAACATAAGAAATCTCTAAAAGCAGCTGTTTCTTCCCTTAAAAACTGGTGAGATATTCTAAAACACATTTCCCCAACATGTGTTATATTCCATGTCGCCCTAGTCACTCCTGAAATAGTAAGCTGTTTTGAGAAAGTGTAAATTCGGTAGTCAAATGGTTTTGGAAAATGCTGTTTAAGATAAACAAAGTTCCTTAATTAGTTGACTTCCCAAAACTTTTGACATCTTACCAGACATTATGAGTCTCCAGAAAAGAGACACAATATGCCAAAGTCGACATACATATCTGACTACAAGCCCTTTTTTTCTATAAATGTAATGTACCATGGAATGACTTGAGGTCATACTACTGTAAAGCAACAAAATGATTTTTAAAACATATGGTATAACAAGTGTGTCTCTCATATCTTCTCACTGTAGAAAACTTGAGAACTACAAAGAAAGGGAAAATATCTGAGCCCAGCACTAAGAATTAATTCTATTACAGCATCTTAGCATCTCTCTGTTAATAGATTGATCATTGTCTGTCCGTAGGTATAGATAGCTGTAAATTTTCTTCTTTTTCTTTTCTAGAGTATCATAAGTATATTCAGAATTCTTCAGGGCTGCTTAATTTATATATACAATGATGCTCTTTACAAATCTTTGTTTTGCACTAATACAGATTTACAGAAACATTGTAAGGTGTGCTTAAGAAAAAATAGTAGTGTGCTGTATGTCTTGCTCATCTAATGCTAACCAATACCACCACGTAGCATTCATCAGAAGTCATCCTGAACACATTACTGCAGACATTGTTTTTCCAAGAATATTCAAGACCTACCTTGGGATCTCACATCCCTGCAGTTGCCTTGTCCCCTTAGTGCCCTCTGGGTTGTGACAGATTCAGTCTTTACTCATCTGTCCTGACTTTTCAGGAGATTTCAAAAATGTTCCTTCATTTGTGTTTGGTGTTCTTCAGACAATTCCTCTACACTAGAGGGTTTTTAGGGTGACACTCGGTCCCTCTTAAATGCATGGCAGCATTGTACATGATATCCATATGAAGTATATCTGTTCATGTCTATGTGACAAATTGAGTTAGCCAGTGCCTAACAGGTTTCATCACTGTAGTTTCCAGTTTTTCCTTTTCACACTTTATCCTGAGAGAGAGATTTGTTAAGCCCAGTCTTCTCTCAAGACAGGGAGAAGGAACAGTTCAGCTCCATACCCTCCCTGGAAGAGTATCTACAGTCAATACTAGGAATTCTGTAAATAAAATTGGTTGCTTCCTTCATTTTTTTATTCAGTTATCATTTATATAATTATGGACTCATGTATATTTATTTTGTACTTTGGATGATGAAAATACTGTTATTAACTTTATTATTTAAATTGTGGTTTTGGCTGGCTTTGGGAGCTCTTTGAGGCTGGCTTCTGGTTAGGTGTGCCCCTAGCCTTCTGTCCTTTCTGAACAACTTATTCTCTGCAGTTTTTTTAATCTCATATTTTCACTGCTAAGCCCTAGAATCAGACATTTTTTTTTCAAGATGCCTTAGTTCTATATGGTAGCTGGAAAAGAAGGTCTGGGCACTGCTGTTACTGCTGGAACATTCCTGATTCTGGAATGTTGGAAGATAGGGGTAGATGACATACATACATATATACATACATACACACACACACACATACATACACACACATATGCATGTGTGTATGTATATATGTATATAGCCATGTATATATGTATTTATATATATATACATATATAGCCATGCATACACATCTGATTATAACCTTTCCTTCTTATACAATTAAAGTGAACTCATACTGATGTCTCCAGCTCTAATCCAGGACTAGAGGGCTTATTATAGCCATCCATCTTCTTTGCTTGCAAATGTCCTCTCTGATAATTTGAACCTTAACTCCCATCGATTCAAACATATATGGTTTGTTATAATGAGTTCAGAGTTAGCCTCTGTCTCAAAATCTGTTTCAGATCTATTAATTCATTTGGGAGCTCTTAAGCTGTTGGATGTTATGTTTCCTGTGGTTCATCATATTTTTCATCCTTGAGTATTCCTTATATATTCAATTCATTGAGAATTTTTATTATAAAGGATATTGAATTTTCTGTTTTTCTTCTATTGAGATGAACATGGAATTATTAATTATATTATTATTATTATTATTATTATTATTATTATTATTATTATTACAAAATGGAGTATCACATTTACTGATGTGTGTAGATAAAACTGTCCTTACATTCCTGGAATAGATGTCACTTGATTATGGTATATAATATTTCTAATGTAATCTTGAACTTGACTTGCACTGTTTTGTTGAGGTTTTAAGAAATGATACTCATTAGGAATATTGGACTGTATGTTCTGTTCTTGCATCATCTTTGTTTGACTCTGGTTCAGATTAACACTGGCCCACAAAATGAGTTTGAAAGTATTCTTTCCTCTTCAGCATTCTGGAAGAAAGTTGGTCATAGTGTTTATCCGAACAGAAAGCAAACTGGAAGTATCCAATCTGAAAAATGTCTTCCAGAAAATGTTTTTGTTGTTTTTTTAAAGATTTATTTATTTAATTAATTAATTAATTTATTTATTTATTTATTATAATAGTGTTCTGCCCCAGATGTTCTGCAGGCCAGAAGAGGGCACCAGATCTCAGCATAGATGGTTGTGAGCCACCATGTGGTTGCTGGGAATTGAACTCAAGACCTCTGGAAGAACAGCCAGTTCTCTTAACCACTGAGCTGTCTCTCCAGCCCTGTTTTTGTAGTTTTTATGCTACTAAACAAAAGTGACATTGACATAATTGAATTAAAACATGCTGTGTTCTATCTGTGGTACTTGTCCTCCATTTCTCTCTCTTCCTGTCTTCTCTGAGTTTAATAAGTATCTTTATGATCCTACCTTATCTCCTGTACTGAGTTGTTTGTTTTCCTTTTAAGAATATTTTGTGTTGTCTAGTGTCTTTTGTTTTGTTTTGTTTTTTGTTTTTTGTTTTTCGAGACAGGGTTTCTCTGTGTAGCTTTGGAGCCTATCCTGGCACTCGCTCTGGAGACCAGGCTGGCCTCGAACTCACAGAGATCTGCCTGCCTCTGCCTCCCGAGTGCTGGGATTAAAGGCGTGCGCCACCAACACCCGGCCCTGTCTAGTGTTTAATAATCTCCATCCACCTTCAAATCACATACTTCCCCTGTCATCTGAGAGCCTTACATCCTTGGATTTCATTTTGTCTCTCCCAGGTTATTCCTGTTGTATTTGCTTGTATTATGTGATACTCGGTGCCTTGCTAAACTGACTTACACACTTGCCTTTTAGTGGTGTTGATGATAGGATCGTTGGAGTTTTCCTTCCATTACTAGTGTTCTTTATTTCTTTGTGTAGATCTAAATTCTTTTTTTTCCAGATCTAAATTTTTCATCTATGTCATGGGGCAGGGCTTCTGGTGGCAGAGTCCTTCAGCGTCTAACCTGCTTCCTTCCTTTCAGACAGCCTCAGTCCCTCGTGTCCTCACAGGACCTTTTCTTTGGTAGAGGTTCAGGAGGAGGAAGAAAGCAGAAAGCTGTCTGGAATATCTTACAAGGACATGATTCCTGTCGGGTTCCCTACCCTTTCACTGCTTTTTTCATGGGTCATTTACTGAAACTTAGAGTTAGGGTTTCAACGTATGGACTTCAGTCTCTAACAGTTGGCTAGAGGAGTTTCTTCCCTCTCCTGCTGTCAAGACTGTTTCAGTGTCTCCCTCTTGAATATGATTTCCCTAGATAGGGTTTGTTTGTTAGGTTGCTTGCCTTGTAGTTTTAAATTTCTTTGATATGTAGTTTGGGGTTTTGCCGTAAAATTTAAAAATACCTTTACCCATTGTTCTTCAAATGTTTCAGCTGCCTCTTTTCATTCTCCTTCCAGGTTTCAAGTCATGCAAGTGTTCTATTTCTCAGCTGTACCAGTTTCTCACTCTTGCTGCTTTGCAGTTATGGTGACTTCCTTGCTTTTATTTTCAAGTTGTCTGGGTCTTTCTTCAGCTATTTCATCTTGTTAAAACTACATTGAAGGCCCTCTTCATGTCTGTTACCTCATTTTTATCGTCTAGCACTTTTTGTTTTGAACCTTGTGGTTTTCATGTCTACTGTATTCACCTATCTGCCATTGAATGATGTCCACCTTTTCCATTGTAGTCTCTAACACGGACGTACATTATTTAAAATTCTGATACTTCACCATCTTTGTCATATCTGTGTCTTGTTCTGGTGATTGTTTTATTGTTCTGGAAATTATCCTTATCTTTTGGTGTATTATATATATTGTTGTTGAAAGCCAGACATTTGCTTAAAGCAATAGAAATTTGAGTGTGTAGGGCTTTAGTGTGGAGATTTGTGTTAATCTAGGCAGGAATTGGGCTTTGTTTGATGTTTACTGTTGCTGCGGTTACTACCGTTGCCTTTTGTTGTTGCTATGGACACCAGAGGCTTTACTTTTTTAGTGACTTGGCTTTGGGTCTTCTCTCTGTGCTGCTCCCCAGAAGCGGTGTCCTCTCCAGTTCCTCCTGTTTTGTAACACAGTGTTTGTAAGTAGGTGATGAGGTGGGGGTGAAGGGACGTAGTCCCTACTCTGATTATATTTCAGTCTTGGGCGTGCCCAG